CAAACAGTGATTTTGGACAGCCTATTTTGTGTAGGAGGATCGAATAAGTTAAAAAGCCATTTATAACGTTGTCAGGGCTTTTTGTCGTTTTCATGATTATAACTAAGGTTTTCAGGCCGTTTTGTAAATTTAGAGGCCATTTTTGACGTTTTAAGGATGCTTTAAAGATTATTTGGAGGATTTCCAAGCCGTTCTCATAAGTGGCGTCCCGTAGCCTCACTTTTAACCTGTGCATCAACTTTCAAAATCAGATTTAATAGCATATTCATACTCGAATCGGTTGGAAAATACACTTAGGGAGCATACACAAATGAGAAAAATTGCTCCAAAATGAGAACGGTAAAAAAAATCTTCAGCAAAGTACCATGAAATCATCTCAGCTAAAACTTTGTTGGAGCAAATGTGTTTATATTTTCAAAATAAAAAAATAAATAGATTTGCTATAACAATAATTTGAGGACCCCCTCTCATTTTAAAAGAAGGGGCTTTTTTAGCTGAAAAAGTTTACAGAAGACACTACACCTTTAAAACTTAATCTAAATGCACTAGAACTTTTTGTCTTGCTAAATTCCCATCCCGGACCACTGTCGACTAAACCGGGGATCGAACCCGCCGCCGCTTGGTAATGCCGTACCTTTACTGACTAGGCCATCTGCGGCCCCTTGATTAATCGATCCAATTAGACGTGAATGATGATATAACCCGATACTATACAATGCCAATCTTAATTGGACGACTAGAAGAAACACAGGAAATAAAGCAAAGTTATGAGAAAGGTACTTAAATTTCACTTCACTACTTTCCAAAACGCCACAATCCAATCAGTTCCATTATTTTCCATTGCAAAAGCTAAACAAAAACAAATGCGTGAGAAACAACAATAGAATGCCGTAAACAAAAACAATAATTCCCATTTTTTCTCTATGTCTCTCGCATAGCGTCGTCGTCGCTGTCATTATTGCATTGCCGTGGCGGGCGCGGTTGGGAAGCATAATTTCGATAAGTGATTTAATTATCAAACACGTTACGCTGTTTGAGTGTGTGTGTGTTTGTCCGCGCGGCGCGCACTTCGAGATTAGAGCTGATTTGTGAGCTGCTGCGGCGCACTGTTATTATTAATTTATTAGTTTTCGGTTCTCCCCCTTTCATCTTCTTTCTCGCGGTATGCATGCCATTCATGCACAGCACCGGTCTACACACGCTATCGAACTTCTAATTTCTCCGATACTTTTTCTTGAACACGTTTGTGTGTGTATGTGCATTTTTGTATTGTTTTTATTTTGCTTATTTGTGCACTGCTTTTGGTACTTTGTGAGTAGTTGTTTGTTTTCTTTCGTCGCTGATTTGATTTTCAGGTAAATGTTTTAATGCTAACTGAACTTGCCTTGAGCGAAGCGATTTTTTATGTTTTTACGTGAACGCGTTGATTTCAACTGATTTTTTTTTATTAGCTTAAGAAAAACCATCACCAACTTTGTAAATACAGTGAGAGTTTGAAAGGTCTGGGGTGGAAATTGCTTTTCTCTGCAAAGTCCGTTGCTACAAGGGAGTGCATCGTTCATTGGAGGGTAAGTTTGTTTATTTCCAGTTTTTTTATTTGCTTTCTCTCGACAGTCCTGAGGGTAATCTACTAAATACGTAGCAAAAGTTGAGATTGTTGTGCTTTCGCTCGCTCGCAACCCGAAAGCAATCGAGACGAAATTTAAAGAGCGTTCCCCACGTGAGCATACCAACGTGACACATACGACAGAAATGCCGAGCAGAAAAATTTAAGCCACGAAAACCATAAAATACATCACATAATAGGACAAGGACTAGCGTGGATGAGGGAAACATGTTCCTCGATGACGTCACGTGGGAATAGGCCAAAGAAAAAACACTGCGGAGCGGTTAGACTGGTTCGAAAATAAATTGTTAGAGGTTTTTTTCTTTTCAATTGATTCTTTATAACGCATTTACTGTGTATGAATGACAGAACCGATTTATATCTTCCGATATTTAGAAGAAAATAAATCCTACTCACGGGGAATCTTCATAAGATTTATTTTAAACTTTTTTTAAACTTTTCATATATATTTTTATTATTATTAATTACTTTATTTGTACAGGCTCAATCGAATAAACTTTACAGAGCCGAGTTATCATTTTCGTTATACATTATTGATGTCTTATATTTCAAGTTAAAACTTTTCATATAATCATCCTATAATTTTCTCGAAGTTGTTAACAAGCTTCGTAAAAAACAAAAAAAAAACTTGATAATCTCTCTGGTATGATCACTTATAATCAGGGTTCTGCTTTTACGGAACAAAGAAAAGAATCGCTTCATTTCAAGAAATATTAATTTCGTGTAAGCCATTGTGTTTCTTGTTATCGAGTCACGATAAACGTTCCTCCCGTCAAACATGACTTGGCTATCGCTTGAACTTGTGAAGTTCATCAGTTCATTTCATTTGAAGCAAAGATTTGTTTCAATTGACGCAATGAATGACTCAAAAACTGCTCCTTCGTTTTTTCCACTTTCACTTCAATTCGGAGCTCATTCGACTTGTCCCGCGTCGCGTCGTCTAGCATCAAAATATAGTATCCGGATGGTATCCGCACAATATCCGCCGATAGGGATGGCATCCGGATTATATGTAGTAATAAATTGTTATTTTATATTAATTGAAAATTATATTAACGAGGTCATTCTGGAGTTCAAGATGGCGGCCATCGGACTCAGGAAAAGTCTCAAACACCCTACAATATGGGTATTTTCGAAGCGGGGACAACGCGAAGGTGAAGAAAATCCATGTCCGACGCCATTTTGGAATCCAAGATGGCAGCCATCGGGTATTGGACAATAAGAATAACTGACCATGTTATTGAAGCCGAGTTATTATCTAAAGAGAAAGTCGATGAAGAAAATCGATCAATGTAGATTAGTCTATTTGAAAGGTGAAACGCGACTTCTTCTGAAATCGGAAGCCGCCATCTTGAATTTGAAGATGGCGTCGGCCATCGATTTTCGGCCTCTAGATGTCACCCTGAATCCAAAATATCCACATTGATCGGTATTTCACAGTTTCATACTTTTTCTGAACCAAAGCCGCCGTCTTAGAATTTAAAATGGCGTCGGACATCGTTACTGGGATTTCTAAAATAACCTATTGATGGGTATTTGACAGTATGTCCCACTTTTTCTGAAACCAGAAGTCGCCATCTTGGATTTCAATTTCTTGAGCAAAAGCTAAATAAACATTTTACTGAACATAAGGGCAAGGAAACGATTCCCGGTAAGTGTTATCTATGTAAATCTATCATTAAAAATTGTAATATAAAAAAATCTATGTAAAAAAAATCAAGATGATATTTATGGAAACTTTTCAAGATATTTAAAAGAACTTCCGGGGAAAGCTGAAAGAATCTGTCATCCGATACCAGGATGATTAAAAGTGCTTTTAAGACAAGTCAGACTTCAGAGAAAGTTTAGAGAAACTTGAGAAGGAAGTAAGAAGACACTTTCGGGGAAAGTCGGTAGAACTCCTGGAGGAAGTTAGAATGAACGTTCAGGATGAATAGCAAGAATCTTCTGGTAGCAGCCAGAAGAAACTTCTGGATGATATAAAAAAACATGCCGATTGATGTTGGATAAAGCTTCTGAAGAAAACCGGAAGAACTTCTATGGCAAGCCAAAAGAAACCTACAGGAGAAGTTCTGGTGGAAATAGTAAGAAACATCCTTAACAAAATGGAGCTGGCTTCCACGAAGATATTTCCGGGAAAATTTGTATCATTCTTGGTAAAATCAGAAAAAAACTGTCGAAAGTTGTCGGAAGGCACCTTCAGGTGAACTCAGAAAAAAACTTCCTGGTAAGTCTGAAGAATATTTAAAAAAAAATCGAATAAACTTCCGGAGCCAGTTTGAAGGAGCTTCTCAAGCAAGACAGCAGAACCGGAGATTTGAGAGAAACGACTATCTGCTGAATTTAAAGCTACTGCAGTCATTTTTCATGGACAATTTATTTAGATATTTTAAAAGCAAAAGAATTTAGTGGAAAATTGATCATATTACCAAGGACACAAATTGACTAAAATGTTGCACAGTCCACTCTCTCGTACAATACTGATGGAAGAATCGAGTTGCGCAGGTAAATGTTGGAATTTTTTGTGGGAAAAGTGGTTGAAGTATCTTGAATTTCCAGTTAGGGAGAGTTGACTGTATGGAAACTGTAGAAGTTTGAGCATAAAAAGACCATTTTATATTTGCCTTAAGGCTCTAACGCATTCCCCCTACGCAGCGGCAGTGTATGAGCTAAAAGCCTACGATAAAATCCCAATTGTTAATTGTTTTTATTCCGGAATAATTTTAGAAACTCCAAAATTCTTCCCTGACTTCCCTTGGTACTCTCCTAAGAATATTCTTGGAATTGTCGTAAGACTTTCATTCGAACAGTCCTCGAAATTTCTTCAGAATGTAATTTTCTTGAAAATATAATTGCCCAAGAAATCTCTTCTCTTTAATAAACGCGGCATGATTTGCATCCCCCATAGCTAGAATTATTTTTGAACCAGTCTAAAGCCTCGACTTTGCACTCCCTTGTATTAGACCGAGAAAAAAACAAACAAACGATATCACTAGAGCACATGACGTATGCGGATGATTGGTTGATGGCGATGGAAATTCGGTAGCAGACAGATGAGAAAAGCATGTTATGCGGGGGCGGAAACATCGCGAACGGATTTCCCTGCTTCCTCCTCCGCAATAAAAAGTCGATTATTCGTTGAATTTGCTCCTATTGCACCATTAAATTTTATAATAAAAAAAAAACGCTCCATCTAAAAATAACACGTCCTGAAACAGTTTTCCGAATCGTTTCACGTAGATCAATCAAGAAAAACAATAAAACGATCAAATCACGATGACAGAAAAAAATATGGAGCGAAGAAAAACCGACACTGGTCGGTGGGTACGATAAGAAAAAATGATGCCAAAATGAACAAAATCAATATACTCACATCCTTCGTTCGTTTCCAACCGCTGCTGGAGTTCCTTGATTTGGCAGTCTTTGCGCTTCATGTCGCAGCCAATCGATTCGCAAATTTGGCGCGCCTCGCGAAGATCCCTGCACACGTCGGAGAGTAGAATAAAATTCGATTATAATGATGTATTTCAATTTTTGGCGAGATACTCACTTTTGAGCGGCAACCAAATCCGTTCGGGTCCGTGTCAACTCCTCCGAGATTAGTGCCTTGGCTTGGATTTCGTTTTGCAGCGAGCTTTGTAGGTTGAGCAGTTCCATCTTGTCGAGCTTCTGCGAACGTCGATTGCGCCAATTCTTGTCACTGGTATTGTGGTTGAGCGAACCGGAGTGTTTCAGGAATTCGAGCTCCTCTGTCATCTTGGTTGCCAAGGCCTGCAGGTAACCTCGAGCGTCCTTCTCATCCGATACCCACTGGATGATCTCCGAAATCTGCCGTTCCCACTGACTGAATGCTTGGCGTTTATTTCTGGAACCACGGAAGAATGATAAAATTTTCTACCCTAGCGACCTAATCACACAGTCTTACCTCAATTCCTCATAATCGCTTTCCATTTGCAGTCGTTCGTTCTGCAGACGTCGATTCTGCTCGCTGAATATTTCTCTATCGGCGCTCAGCTTACGATTATCATCCAGAAGGATCTTCTTCTCACGCTCGTGTCGCTTCCGCAGCTCCATGATGGTCTCCTCCGAGTCGGTGAGCGATTCAAGCCGTGTCGAATCCAGCTTTTCGCGAGCCTGTTGCAGTTCGATCTGCAGCATCTCCCGATGGTTGTCCGCCTCGGTAAGCTGTTCACGGAGGGCGGAGATTTCCGCATTATATCGGGACTGCTGCAGGTTGATCTTTTCGCTGTATTCCACCTCCAATCGATCAATTTCTAACCGAATCGAGTCGGACGACGAGATTCCAAGGGATGAGGATGAACCCAAATCGGATGAACTTCTGCTTCTTTCGGCCTGCAGCTGCCGACAGTAGTCCTCGGATCGCTCCCGTAGCTGCCGTTCTCTGGTAACTTCTGATAGTATATCTTGCATTCTTGCTTCCAGTTCCCGTCGCGATTTGTCCGTTTTCCGCAACTCGCTTCGCAACGTGTCCACCTTCTGCATAGCAACTTCCACTTCCTCCTCCTTGTCACGTACCTGACGAGATAATTTCTGCTTTTGCTGCCTCAAATCCGATAGCTTGTCGGTTACTTCGGTGTATTCAGCCATCGCCAGCTTCCGCTGGCCAAGAGCATCCTTTAGTTCCTTATCTTGTAGTTTCAGTCTTTCAAGTGCGTCTGCATGCTCCTTTATCAGGTCCTCCTTTTCCTGCCGCAGTTGGCGATTGATTTTCTCGTACTCCTTCAACTTAGCATCTAACTGGCCATCGACCGTATCTCCCAGCACAGAGTTTCCACTGCTTCGGACGGCGAATTCCTGCCGCTCGAAACTTTTAATTTGACTTTCCAACTCGCAGTTCCGCTTGGTTAGTATGTTGATTTCGTCCTGCAGCTTCCGGGTGCTGTCCGGACTGAGGCGTTTTTCTTCGGAACGTGGTTGATTACCATCTAACTTGAGCGGAGCTAACGATTGTTGTAATTGACTATTGGTTAAGTTGCTAATGGCACGTGACAGTTTCCCTACATCCGATATGCTGCTGTCCTTGGTGAACGTAAACCCGATGAAAGGCAGATGATGCCCTGAGAAGGCTGGATTCGTCGTCGGAGGCACCGCATCGGACAACTTTATGTCCGTATCGTCCACATCAAAGTTGGACGTGTCGGTTGGACTAGAAACCTCAGGTATGTACGGCGCCTGGCCGTTTCGTATCGTATCCCAGTCGATTCCTTCGAACCATGGATGCGTCTTGAAATCTTCTATCCCATTTTGCCCCAGTCGGTAGTCCGGTGAACAAATCAACCTTTTGATTAGATCCTTTGCATTATCACTAACTTGGAACTCTTCGTCGTCGTTGGGAAAGTCGAAGCAGTTTTTATGATTCATAATTTTCCCGTAAGTTTCCACTAAACTTTCCGCATAGAATGGCGTTTCGCCAAACAGCATTTCATACATACAAACTCCTAACGACCACCAGTCACACTCAGGACCATACTTGCCCTGACCATCCTCCATCGCACGCAGGATTTCCGGCGAAATATAATCCGGTGTCCCCACCGCTACATTTGATTGCACCGTACCCTGAGGACCCAGCTTCAGACAGGACCCAAAGTCCGCTAGTCGTACATGACCGCTTGCATCCAGGACGATATTATCCGGTTTGATATCACGGTGGACGTACTTCAGTTCGTGGATGCTGTTGATGGCCAGAACCATTTCGGCAATGTAAAACCGAGCCATGTCCTCTGGAAGGCGGTCCTCGAATTTACTCAGCAACGTTAGCAAATCGCCTCCGCAGTAGTAATCCATTACCAGATACTGCGATAGGGGAAAAATTGTTACAACAGATTCAGTATTGAGATGAAGTAGTGGAATCGGGAGATAGATTGTATTGAGATAATAGAAATGCAAAGTCATCCCTCATGATGAAGTATCATAGCGAGATTTCCATTTCCTCTCCCCAATAATGATACAACAGATATTTTTCCCATTTCCACCTGAACTTCATAGCACACGAAAACTCAAACATCAATCATGTTGCGTTCGTTCGTTACGCACTTTTTCTCCTTACACTTACCAGGTTAATATCATCCTGAAACGCATAGTGCAAGTTGGTAATCCATCTTCGATCACCAAACACCAGCACATCGCGTTCTTCACGAAAGCACGCGGTTTCAGCACGCTGCAAAAAGATACACACGAAAGCGATTGTAAGGGAGGAGGCAAACCAAAACATTGATGATTAATACGAAGAGCGCCGGCCGACCGGCAGCCAGCCAAGTCAATTGAACCCCACCGCTCCTCATTTTCGTATCTGCCACTTACCTTTAACATTTCCCATTTGTTCAAAATCTTCATCGCGTAGATCTGACTAGTGTGATTCATCCGGACGACGCATACCTCGCCGAATGCCCCGCGGCCAATGACCTTGAGCACCTCGAAGTCCTCCCGCGAGAGACGCAAATGCTTGATGCACTGCACCACCGATTTGATCAACTCGATAAAATCGGAGACGGTTTTCTCCCGCCGTAGGGACGAATTACAACACTCGTCGTACAGCACCAGCAGGCAATCGAGCAGGGTTTCGATCGAGAGGAATTTTTCCGCCGACAAGCCGGCGCTGTTCAGGTTGTTGTTCGAGGTGACATTGTCGATGATGAGCGACTCGAGCTCCCGCAACCGTGTGGACGCTGAGATCACTAGTGGAAAACGAAACAAAAAAACAGAAGCGAGGAAAAGCCATTATTATTCGGAAGGTCGAGGAAAATGTGTTTGTAGAAGGTCGGGGAAAATGTGTTTGTATGGAAAATATTCATGGGGTATATAGGAATAGTAACAACAAGTATTGAAATCAAATGGAGATGTAGTGTGGATACATTTTATAAATAAATAATAAATTTATACCCTCTGTCAGATATAAATAAACACATTTTGAATGTCTTCAACAGAATCTTCGGCGCCTAGGACGTGGGGTATAGGTCGTAAATATTCTTTGCACTGTTGTAATCTTTTATATCTAGTATTGTTTATAATTGCTACATGAAGTCGTTTATCTGTACTTGCTGACGAAATATGGAAACTCAAATTAATTCTCGGTTTTTTACAAAGTACAGCCTCAAAAATGCTACTGCAGCGCAGCCTAGGAATAATAGTATAATATAAGAGTGGATCAAAGTATCGATCAAAAAATCAGACATGTGTTTTTTATTCGTTTTTGAGTTATAAATTTTTGAAGTTATCAAGCATGCTTGGCATACATAGTTGTGATCACGAGCTGCTCAATTGCTAATAACTTTGCACACAGTTGACGAAACATAGTTGTTTTTGAAGCAGTTGATAGAATAGGGTTTTAGCTTGTTATAGATACGCAAAAAAAGTAGATTTTAATTCTAATAATAAACTAGGGGAAATGATGGCTTCGGCATGACAGACTATTTTCGGCAACCCAAATTGAAACATTATTTTCAATGGATTTTCTTACGAAACACTTCGCTGAATGCATGCAAACGATTCTTTATGCTTTCAGCTTCAATTTGACTATATTTTTACCACTGAGAAAAAGCAATCTAGCAGGGTTTTCTTGAAATGAAACACACGCACTACAAATTGTAGCTGATTTCGAGTTGCCGATAATAGAACAGCAGATTTACATGCAGTTCAAATGGAACGGTTGCCGAAGAAAAACTGGTTGCCGACAATACTCGCTCTCACTAGAGAAGATTGGAGCTTTGTAAAAGCGTTTCAAAACAGTTTTTGACAATTCTTTCGACTGAAATTGTTAGAGCAGCTGGCAGCAAAAGATTGTAAACAAACCAATACTCCATATGTGTGCGTTCCATAGAGAAAAAGGCTATAGAAAGAAGGTCGCTGCTTAGGTTGCCGAGAATACGTAAATTCCCCTATATTTGTTTTTGCGTTGAAAAATGAAGTGAGAAATGATCGCTGCACATCTCAGACTTTAAGTGTAAAAATTCCTTGGTGTTGATTCAAATGTTAACATTTACCTACTCTTTGCATATCTATAGTAAACTATAATCCTAATCTATCAATTACTTTAAAGAAAAACAAATTTCAACAACTGAGTGAAAAGTTATTAACAAATGAGCAGTTGGTGTGTACAATTGTGCGTGCCAAGCATGGCGACTGTAACATGTTCATGGAAAATGGTCACCCTAATGCCAAAATAAAAAAATACGGATCTAATATTTTGCGATAAGGAACTAAACTACCAATTTTTACGAAATTCTGAGAACCACTATATCGTTTTGCTATGGCTGATGTGAAAGATACACTTTTTTTTGCATTGTCCCAGCCTTTAAATTTTGTACTTTAATTTCTCAGGCACAGCTTGACTGAAGACCAAATTTGCAATGAACGTCAGTTTGTAGTTATTAATTAATTAGGAAGATGATGTTCTTCTGACATACTCTGTAGTTTATTGCAGCAGAAAAAATTGGTAAGCACGATTAATAGGGAAACATTATCCAGGCTACTATGTCATAGTGCAAGATGTAGTGCTTCGTAGCAGTCGATTAATTGTATCAGAAAGTTATCGACTTCAAAATATTTTTTTATTTAACGACGGTTTTTGTTCCGCAATCGAGTGCCAATCACCGACGGCCAATTGGTGATTAATTGATGAATTAATAAATAGCATATTTTTAGCGATGGGCCCAATCTTAGATCCATTTGCCCTATTCCATATTTTCTCAAAAATAATGTTATCATGGCCATAAAATGAATATAATGTCAATCGAAAATATAAAAAAGTAATGAAATCGAGATTGAAGTTCTCGAGAAACCACGGAATGTAAGATTTCAATACAGTTTTGTATAAAAAATTAACGAAATCTGTAAGGATTCACGACACGACCAGATGCTGTAACAGAGTGTCTACTCATTTTGCTGAATATGATTCCCTTGGTTTCAGATTTTCCCAGGACTTCAACGGCAAATTACCAGGTTTGGAGAAAAAATTTTTTAACGTGAATTTCTTGAAATGGTCCTTATTATTCCCTAGAACCTCTTCATTGAGTTCACTAAAGATGATGAAATTTACCTTAAAAGTTCGTTAAAAATTTCTTTGAAACTTTCCTCAAGAATACGAACACAAACATTTACGTAGACAATTAAAATCACATACTAAATAATAATATTTCATATGCTGACGACAATATTAGTTAAGTTAAGTTTTCTTTATTAGGAAGGCTTTCAGTATGGGACTGGTTCGCCTCCGTAACGACAATTGAATGGTATAATTTTACCATGCAGAATTTTTATCTTTTTTATTCCGTGTTCTGTCTAGGCTTTCGACTATACTAGCAAGCTTTTTAATTTTATCATTGTAGAACGACGCACGCACTTGCTTCGCTTCTCTCCAATTTCGGGTCAGCAGAAAAAGCATGCGAAATCAAATTATCGTACTATGAGCGCATCTTATAGGCTTTTAGCCTATCCATGTTCCGAAGCATGGGGACAGCAGTGGAGAAAGCACAGATCTGATAATCGCGCAACGTTCAGGGTTCGAGTCCAGTCGGTATTATTTATTTTTCGTCATAAATTGATTTCTCTCACTTATATACTCCACCTTTTTCGGTCTCCAATTTTCATGAATTTGGACCGTAGCTCGGTATATCTCATCCTCCGTTCATGCGGTATCTACTAACACATCCTGCGATGATGAATAACACACATAATTGTGAGCAACTCTTACATCACTGGTTAGGTGTATACTTGTGTGTCATGTAAAATCAAATACTCTCAAAACCGGACTGGGAATCTAACCCAGCCACCTCCAGCATGGTCTTACTTTGTAGCTGCGCCTGAGCTAAGGAAGGTCCTTTTTCCTCCTACATTCAATAAGAAGCTATAGCTGAGTGGTGACAGTCACGCTAACGGCCTGGGTTCAAGACTCGTTGGATACGTACTGTAGCTTTTTTTAATTTTTATATTTCTGTAATAGCTCAATATGCTATTGTTTTGTTATTGTGAAGTTACAAAACTCTGTTATAGCATATGTTCATGAGATATGCCAAAAGCTTACTTTGATATTACTCAGTTATTAGATCATAGGTTTTCTGATATTATTTTTGAAAAGAATTATTTAGATTCCATATTTTTAATATTATTATTTGCTATTGGTTAGATATGTTATTCTATTCGGGAACAAACGCGGAATTCCGCTCAATAAAACGTAATTTTCGTCAAGCATTCAGTCTCGGAGCACTTAATTCTACATGACATATTTGTTTACGTCTCATCCATTATGTCAAAGATGAGTTATGTCACGAGCAGTGGCGTCGCCCTAACCTCAATCTACCTACTCAACAACTCTCAAAACTTAAACTAACAAAACAATATTGGTTCAAATGGATACAAATCAGTAAACTGGAATACCCTTCTTCTTCTTCTTCTTCTTCTTCTTCGCATTTCAAGCTTATTGCATATCGCATATAAGCTTATTGCGTGCTCTCAACTTAGTGTTCTTGATGCACTTTCACAGTTATTAATTGAGAGCTTTCGATGCCTGTACCATTTTTGCATTGGTATAATTGTGTGGCAAGTCCAATCATACTTATATGCCCAGGGAAGTCAAGAAATTTTCCTACCCGAAAAATTCCTAGACCGGACCGGGAATCGAACCCAGCCACCTCCAGCATGGTCTTGCTTTGTAGCTGCGCCTTTACCGACTGAGCTAAGGGAGGCCCTATGTCTTTTGAAACTTATTTGAATGTAAACATGACCCTAAATAACGTTTTCCAAGTTGTTTAACAGGTAAAGAGTAAGGTTGCCCGACGCCACTGGTCACGAGTACAATTATTTATCTAAGTGTGTACTTTTCGAATCATCCTCAGAATGTCCATTGATTTATTTTAAGCATTCCCTTTGGATTCTCCTTCTCATGGAATTCTACTTACAAAGGGCCTTGAAAAAGACTCCTCAAAATTCTTAGCAATTTTGGTCAGATTTTCTGTGAATTCTCTTTGGAATTGCCTGAGAATGCTCTACAAAATTCTCTTGTAAATTTACATTGAATCCTACTCTGGATCAGGATTCCCTTGGAATTCTACTCAGAACTACCTCGGAATTCTCCTTAAGCGTCACCTGAAGTCTGGAGTTTCTCATAAACAAATATTCTCTGGTATTTTCCTCTGAATTACTTTAAACTTTAAAGAAATTATTCCTAGAGATCCTTGATGATCCAAGTTTGATTTCATTAGGTCCCAGATTTCAAAAAAATAGTCGAAGTTTAAAATCTGTAGAAGTTATCCATGCTTCAGAACCTTAAAAAAAACAATTCAAGCCTAAGAATGTATGTTGTTACTGAAGATAAATATACGCCAGAATTATGTCGGTCAAAGAGTAAGAGTAACTAATGAGTAAGATAAAGTTGGTTCTATTATGAAACATTTTAGAATTCCTGCATATATAGACTTAAAAATTTGCTTGATAAAGTAATTAGAAAATAAACTGAGAATTCCAGGTTTTTTTACAGGTAAAATAAAGTGGTTTTTGGTCTAGTTACACCTCTGTGCATCGCCGAGAAAAGTGAGTGACACATTCTATGTGGCGTTACAACGGTTTTTGGCTGTGTTTTGACAGTTTTTGTACTGTAACTGAAAAAAAGGAAAAGTGAAGCCTAAATATTATTGCGCAGATTTACAAAGTGCATTACATTTCCAAAAAGAATTGATCAAGA